TACACATGCGGTGGGAGCTTAGTGGGAGAGAAGGCTTTTCTGATAGAAGAGCTCAGAGCCTTTATGAGGAAGGTAACAGGAGACCTGAGCCACACAGAATGATAGGGTTTTCTCAGGAAGTGCTAAAGAGAGTGACAGCACCCTAAACCGAGTGAGGCATAACTGCAAAGAAGGGTGCAGCAAACCATTCTCCTGTGAGAAGAAGAGGCAATCAATTGGTACGAAGGAAGGGTGACCCCCCCATTGTTGGGGACCTTGGTACCACACTGAGGAAGTTGGATCTCAGGGCCAGGGGGAGCCTCAGAGCCCCTGGGCAGGCAGGAGATAACCCCTGCTTCTCCTGGTCAGACCAATCTGATCCCAGAGAGTAGAGGAAGTGGAGGGGAGGGGAGAGGGGGTAGGGAGGCCATTTGGATCACTGCTATGGCTTTCTGGGTTATAAATAACAAAGGTCATTCTGATGTAGGGCATTCTCAGTGAAAACCAAAAAGACCAGCTGACAAGTCTAATAGCTGACATACAAGTCCTAGACATCCCTTATGAAGACTGTCGCTCATTCAGCACCTACTGTTTTTGAGACACTTTTCATTTGTACCTTGTTTATTCAAAGATGTGGAACATTCAGAAAAAATAGCTTGATTTTTCCCCTACCTCTGTCTTCCACTCCCATGTTAGGTATTCCACCACTCCCACCACGTGTCCTGCTGCTGTCTTAGCAAATCATGGAATTGCATCTAATCCCTCTCTTTGGAATATTGGGCAACTCGTCACTGCTTGTCCACAGCCACAATGTAAATCCGGAAAAGTCCAGTTTAAAATCCTTTTAAAAGTCATTCTAATATTAATATCATTAGTATCCTCTAGTGTTAGTATTATTTAATTTTCACAAATCCTATTGTGTAAGCACTAGGGTGGAGGATCTGAGACTTGTCTGCTGTCTCACTACCATTTGGGCTTGGCATACGAATTCAAGTCTTTCTGGTTCCAAGGTTCAGCAGCATACTCTGATGTTGTCTCTCAAAAAAATGAGCCAGATCTTGAGGCTGAGAATCTAGGAGAGTCAGGCACCATTAGCAGTGAGGGAGGATCAGGAAGGGGAGTGGTTTGAAACTGACAGTGAGGTCCTTTGCTGCTGCTGTGAGCTGGAAGTTGCAGGGGACATGGGGCATCCTAGTGATGCTCTGCGGATAACAGTAATCGTCCCATTCCATGGGGGAAGGAGAACTAGATAAAAAAAGATAACAGGGAAAGGGAAACCAGGAAACCAGGAAACTGTGCTTCAGTCTGATGGATACGTTGGCCTGTTTGTCTTCTTTCTATAATTCTGAGAAGACACGTCTGTATGAAATTTTTGATAATTTGCCAAAGAGGTAAAAGCTTGTTTACTGATATGATCTCTCGGCTTTCCTGTGAGGTGGCAAAGTGTATAATCATTGTTCTATAAATGAAAAGAGGACTAGAAGTATCCAAGACACAAGGGCAAAGATCCAGCTTTCAAATCCTGCACCAGCGGGAAGCTCAGAGTGAGGCCGATGCCCATGGGCGCAGGCAGGGATCTCTTCCCAGGGGTTGGCACAGTCTGAAGACCAGGACCTGGGAAGCATCACAGGAAACTAAGTAGCCAACTACTGATTACTTAGCATAGCTGATGTCACCCAGTCCCAATAGCTGCCCAGTGGAATTAAAATGCGATCGCGGGCCTTTACCGCCCTCTCTGAGCCTCAGTTTCTTCCCCTGGGAAGGGTGGAAAATGACTCTTCACACATGTGGTTTGGAAGATCAAAATAAGAAAGCACATGTTACATATGTTCATCTGCCTACCAATATTTATCGTCACCTGTGTCACCAGGTGCTTCCTCTACGGAGCGAGCTTCAGTTAGTGTCAGTGCAGCTCTCCATCCGAGGATAACGTATTTGGGGAGTGGGTCTTGTGCCTGCATTTCAACTGGAATTGGGCTGGTGTTCCAGGAGAAGCCTCGGGTGGCAGCTCTGGAAAGCTGTGACTTGGAATCGACTGGGAGTTTGGAGGCTCTTGAGTCCCCCTTTCCTCACCTGGAAGCCTTTCTCAGAGCTGCTATGTGCCCAGTGTCAGTGAGCTTCTCTGACTGCAAAGTCCATGGTCAGCCGATGAGACTGAGGAAAAACTTTAGTACAAGGAGAGCAGATTCTGACCCACTGAGTCTCATGGTCTCAGACATGGAACTGCAGCCACACATCCCCTGTGATGAGCAAGAGAAACTGACCCCCAGGGAAGGGATGCGACTGGTGTGCAGTCACGCAGCAAGGTAGGGACAGCCAATGGAATCGGGGCATGGACCTCTGGACTTTATATTCTTTACCCGCAGAAGTAGCTTTTATGGTTAATGATTTCAAAAGTAAGCTTTGCTAGACATCATGTACAGCATGGACACATGAAATCAGAATGTGACTTCTCAGTCAGCTTGGCTTAGCTCATTCATTACTGCACACTCTGCCCCTAGATAGGAAGGTGAGCCCTTCTCAAAGTGTCCAGGAAAGGTCTGGAGGAGCAGCCAAGGGAGCCAGATGGGCTCTGAGGCTTTGACATTCATAGTCCTCAGGAGTGAGCCAGGTTGGATATGTGGGGATGGGTTTTTACTGTTCTCAAAGAGAATAAGGCAGAAGGAGCCAAGCTGAGACCCCTCTGGGTCTCAGTGCCACTCACAGGCACAGCACCCTCCCATTAGGAGCATCTGTGATTACAATCACCCTCTTTCTCCTGCCCATGGAGGAGAGAAAGAGAGAAGAAGAAAAGGCTGCAGATGCTCACAGGTCAGAACCTTGGGTGGGGAGACACCCAGAGGGTAGAGACGCTTGTCTAAACTCTGCTCCCCACACCCAAGGTAAGCCTCCCCTTGTTGAGACTCACAGCTGTGAATGGGAACAGAAGCCACCAAGTGCAAGGTTGAGCACTTACTCCGTGGGATCACCTGTCTCGTGAAGGTTACATTTTACTTGAAGGAAGGGGACATCTGTGAAACATAGAGGGAACCGAACGGCAGAAACAGACACTGCTCATTCACCATCACAGGTTTATTACAAGTTACCACGGAGACGGGGACACAAAAAGCTACTGAGATGCACGGTTTAATTACAGGACAAAGACACAGCTCTCCATTCCAGTGCCCTAATGTGTCACCCTGGTGATGGGAGGAAGCTACCAGAAGCTACTAGAAAATGCCAGAAAGTTGATAGATTTGATTATTTTAACTCTATGGCCACTTCAGCCCCTAATCTACTTTAACATGAAATAAAACCAGTTAATAAAGTATGAAAATAGCATTCTATAAATTTTTTAAACGTTGGTGAAGTCAGACTTTTCCAAAGGTCAGACACAGATCCTGAAAGTTAATGGTTTTTCCTCTTCATTTGGGAAAGGCTTTCATGAAGCAAAAGACTTTTCAATAAATTAAATGAGTGAGGAATTGTATTGCTCTATATTTGGAAAATCACCTTTATATTTTTATATGCTTTTAAAATATTTCAAAGTAGGATTGCCAGTTAAAATACAGGATATATTTTAGTGCATGAGCTACAGTCATACTAAAATTTTTTCATTGCTTATCTGAAATTAAAATTAGTTGGGTATCTGTATTTTTATTAGATAAGCTAAGGGACCTCATTTTTAGGCAAACCCATCTTTGGAAATTCCAGAAGTTCCCAATAACTGGAAGGATTTGTTTTATTTTTATGTTAATACTGTCAGAGAGGAAGACTTATTCTTGTGGCAGGAAAACTGTAGATAATGGCAGATATTAATGACATTTTTCTTTCATACACCTTTTATCATTACAATTGGAGCAGCGCACATCTTGGTCGAACATTTACCTTGAAATCTTTGAGACTGTTAGTGAAAGGAAAATAAGATCATGGTCAGGGAGGGAAGAGTCTGTGTTGAAAAGTCCCCTGTAGTAGCCACACTCTCAGTTCCTCTCAGCGCATGACCATTGTTCACTAGAAAGCAAATGTGACCCCTGCATCTTGTCAAATTACACAACGCCTGCTTCCCCATCGCCTCTTGTCTCTCTCCCTCTCCTCCTTCCACACTGAGATGTTGGAGAGGTCACAGTTGAAATCACCACTCAGAGTGTCAGTCTGGATCACTGCATACAGATGACTCCAAAGAAACAAGACGAAAACAATGCATTTTTCAGGTGCTTGGAGGCAAGAAGTTATAAACTTTGTTTTTTTCTGTGTGTGCTTGCTTCTCATAGCACTATGCAAACTTGCTTCTGTCAAAAGTATCCATACTGATTTATTTTAGTAGCTAGGACAATGTCATTCTTAAGGAAAAAAAATCTTGGTAGACTGGACTGATGTATACTACTCTAGAAATAGAATAGCACTTCTCTGGTATCTGAATGTATAACTCATGGCTTATTTTATGTAAAGCAATTTTTTTTTAATTGAGTTTATTGGTACATTTAGGGATACAGTACAGTTACATTCATTGTTGGGATCATGTACCTTTACATGGCAAGTCTTGATTCTCATTTTTTCCCCTTACCTCTGCCCTCCCTTCACCCCCTCCTCCCCTCCCCATCTACAAACACTTTATTTTCATCTTTTCATTCTCTCACATTTTTTTCTTTTCCCTTTTTGTTCTTCCCCTACGTATCACACCTTCCCTACACCTTTAGCTCCTTTCCTCCCATTTCTAAATGTCAGTAATCTTATTAGAATCTTATGCATTGTTGCAGAATATTCACACCAGGGAAACTATTTGGTATTTACACATGTGGGACTTATTTATTTCACTTAGGAGTATATCTTCAATATGTATCCATTTTCCTATGAATGAATCTATTCTCTCGCTCTTTATGGCTGAGTAATATTCCATTTTATAGAAAAACCACAACTTCTTTATCCAGTTTCCAACGGATGGGCAAATAGGTTGTTTCCAAGATTTAGCTATTACAAACTGTGCCGCTATAAACATGGGTGCGCATACTTCTCTGTGATATGATTCTTTCAGTTCTCTTGGAAAGATACCCAACAGAGGGATGGCTGGGTCAAATGGCACCTCCACGGCTTATTTTAAATTGAGATTTGTAACTTAAGATAGAGAGGTTTCAATGTTAATTTTGCAAACAAAGTTCACACAAAACTCCTTATTTTATGAAGGAACCTAAATTGGGTAACACTTGCTACATTCCACCATCTATTAAAGATTCTTTTTTTAAACACACCAAAGAGTGTACCTACATGTAAAGAACATAATTATGTATTCAGTTTATACATATATATATATATATATGTACATAAAATTAACAAGTTATTAGCAAATGCTAGGTTATATTTAAAGTATAGATGGTTTTGGCATTCAGAAGCTATTTGTTAACTAAGTCTATTTATGTCAGCTTTGCTTCTGGGCCTGACTAAACATGTTTAGACCCCTGGCCAGGTACATATCATTCACAATTCTCCTTTGCACCTGGAAATCTTTCTGGGAAAGAGGAAGTGCAGATAAATGTGGGAAATTAAGTTGAGACAATGAAGTAATGAACTTTAAAATCACCATGTAAAGGAGAAGCTGAAAACACTTCCCAACTTAACATCCTCTATAGTAAGATATTATTCCATGTAGCTTTTTGACTTGTGATCTCTTTTCTTCATAGAAATGAGTTCTATTAAATTCCATCTTTAAGACGACATCGCATCAGTTGTTCTGCCACGTCATAAGCTGATGTTTCCCAACCAAGCTCAAGATGAAAAACACCAGAGTGGTTTCTTCCTACCGAACCTGGCCAGATGAGGTGGCCCCCAGAAGACGGGTGGCTGCAGTAGGTATGTGAAAGAGTGATCGGCCCCCTGGGACAAAGCAGCCCCCGCAGCTCTGCACAAGCAGAAGCAGCAGAAGAGAGAAATGTGTCACTATGGAGAGCCATCACTCACCTGGAGTGTTCCAGAACTTTCCAGAGCTCTGTAGGTTCCACATGTGCGTTTGAACATATGCTTGGCAATTGTGTTTGTAGCATGGCTCTGCAGAATCCAGTCACTAGCCTGCCCAGCTTTCTCTGATGTAAGTATTTCTGAGAATATCCTGCCTGAACTACCTGGAAACCAAGTCATGGCTGCCCCGGGCAGGGCTTCCTCTCCAGGAACTGAAGAAGGATGTGAAGCAGATAATGAAGAGTACCCACGGGGAGCACGGCCTTCCTTCTCCTTCAGTGCTGCTTCCTCCTCCTGCGTTCTCCTTTCCTTTCTTTTCTCTTCCTCCCCAGTGGCCTCCTTTCTGCAGCACTGGCTGACCCTGGGCCCAGCTCATGGGGGTGGAGCAGAGCTGCTCATGTGGCTGTACGAGTACCTGGACAGAGATGCCCCTGTGGTCCTGCCTTCCTCCTCCTCTCCCACCTCTCCTCTCACCCCTGGGGGACCTGGGTTGGGACAGCAGGGGAAAGTGGCCATGAAGCCGAGGCGGAACCGTTTGTTCATGAAGCAGTAGATGATGGGGTTGACGCAGGAGGAGGTGTAGGAGAGCAGGAGGATGAAGGAGATGGGTGTCCCGGAGAGGTGGCGCTCGGCAGAGACAGTGTTGTAAGCCCGCCAGGCGTTGGCACTGAAGATGGGCATCCAGCACAGGAAGAAGAGGACCACAATGACAATGAGCATGCGGATCACCCGCTTCTTGGCCATCAGGTTGGCTGTGGAGCTGCTGCTCCGGATGCGATTCATCCTGCTGCCACCACTGCTGTTGGGGGACAGCTGCCGCAGCTCCAGCTTCCGGGGTTGCCCGGTCTTCTGCAGGTAACACCCATCACTGTCCTCTAGTCGGCCACTGCTACTGGTGCTTGGCTTCCTTTCTGGGCGGCAAAGGACAGCATTATTGTTTGGGGGGGGTCCTGCCAGTCTTGGGCATGGAGTCCTCACCTCCCTCCACCCAAACCCAAACTGGGGAATCCAATAGATAGCCTTGGCCCACAGGGTGAGTATGGGTCTGCACCCACTTTTGGCTTCAAATGAAAAGCTAGTTGAAGTTTAAAAAAACAAACATGTATCTGTAGCATAATATATAATAAAATAATGTCTTGTATAAAGATGACACGGATAAAAATTATTATAGAATGAGTATTAGCACTCACAAACATACTAATTTTAAAACTGGGGAAAAATGAATATTCACACGTTTTCCCCTTCTTTCCTTTCCTCCTCAATGGGAAGCTCCTGCCTACTTGTAAGTTTCCGTATTCCTTTTCAGATAATGAGAAAAAAAATCAAGGAAAACCACAGAAACTAGAGCTGTAGTTATCTTCATAGTAAAGAGCTGATTAAAGGGGTAGGGTAAAAGGGAAAGGTTCCATTAACACAACGGCCCTCCCTTTATAACTGGGTTATGTATGCGTTATCTTCTTTTATCCCACTCAGTACCCTTCTGAGAGGAATTACTGCATTTCCCCACTTTGCACGTGAACAAACACAGAGATGGGGTCTTGTGACTGTGCCGTATGACAGTCTCAGAAGAATATGTTCAAACTTCTCCGGGATGCTCAGTATGGACTCCCAGCAGAGCCTTCCAAGTGATAGAAAACCAGCTCCTGTGCTCTCCTGGCATAAACACACACCTCTAAGACAGTTACCTTTAGCAGATTTCTTCTGGCTAGCATCAAATTTTATTCCTTGGTAAAGTTCCAGAGAGATTAATCCGTATGCCACCATCATCACAATTCCAGGAATAAGAAAGAGGATGAGCAGCAGGAATGTGTGCCTGGTAAAATTAAAGGAAATCCAGTAACTAGTACCGCTGAGCCTGCGAACTCAGATGGGAAAGAACAGCTAGGTTATGTCTTCAACTGGTCTATGCAGTAACGTTAATTATTAGTATTTAATACTGTTAGAAAGTCCATGCCTGGCAGTTCAGTGTCAGTGGGTATCCATTCTCCACGATTGGCCAAGCTTGTACATCGGCACACTCGGTCTCATGCCCGGCGGGCTAGAGCTATGCTTTCTCTAAACATGTCTGACGCCTGAGGATTCACAGCCTCCTGCTTTATGAGTCTGGTCCCTAAATCACTCGTGCAGTCTGGCATGTGTAAGGTAGCACGATTAAGCCATAAAATTGTCAGAGGCTTACAGTGCCTGGGCCATTTCTCATTGCAATTGGACAAACTTTGATAAGATTCCTTTTCAGGTCTTGGAAATATCCCTCTCATTTGCAGCATAATTCTTGTGTGTGTCTAGTTGGTTGGAATAAATGAGGAAGCCTAGGAAAGCAGAAGGGATCACAGTTTTGAGCTGCTTCTGAATGTCTACATCCCTACTTCTGAGACAACCTCGGAATTAGTAAAAACATCCTGCATTTGTGTCACCTTCATAAAAATATTTTTTATACATTCTCTTTCATTTGAACTGTGTAGCAATCCAATGAGTTAGATTTTTAAAATCTCTATAATTAACTCTTTGTAGAGATGAAGATCCTGGAGTTCACATTCTAGAAACTGGTCCAAGGTCCTCCCACAGGAAATCCCAGGATGGGTATTAGCATCCCACCTTATTATGGTGAAGCGTCTCGACAAGCACCACATCTGCAGCTCTGAGAAAAGCTGTGCAGCCTTTGAAACTTATTCCCAGTTCTGTCTTCAGCTGTTCAGAAATTTGTAGCTGTCCATGCCACCCAGCCTACTCTACTCAAATCCCCTGGCAGCATTCTGCTCAGAGGCTCCGGTCCTGCCTAGATTTGTGAGTTTGGGCAGCTTAGACTTTCCAAGTCTCAGTTCCCTCATCTGTAAAATGGACCCGATGTTTCCCCTCCACAGGGTTTGTGGAGGATTAATTGAACCAATATACAGGCGGCATTTAAATCAGAGCATTCTACCTAAGTATTCGCTTTCACTGTCATTCTCCAACCAGGGGAGAATAACCGTTCGCCAACAGCCTCCATGACACCGATCTCCCAACCATTCTGAGCAAGGCATTTCAATTTTCCATGTTACAAACTTAGACTAAGTCGTATAAAAAAATAAACACTGCGCCACCTTACCAGGACTGCTGCATGACATCGTTTGGCAGTAGGAAGCGACACATGTTCCCAGTCTGGTTGTTACTTTTGGTAAAAGGCACCAAGTTGCTATAAATAGGGTACGGAGTCATGATGGTAAAGGAGAGGCACCAGGTAGCAGCAATCACCTTCAGAGCATGCGACTTTGTCTGCCAGACTCGGGACTGTAAGGGTTTGCAAATTGCTCTGTATCTCTCCAGCGATATGGCTACCAGATTAAAGGTGGAAACGCTCACAGAGGTGCCTGCGAAGGGGCAAAGAAGCCGGTTACGACACGTCAGCGCCTACATCCGAAGCCTATTTGCACATTAACTTTAAGCGGATCAGATCGTCTCAGGTTTAATATCTAAGAGGAATGCTCCAGGGCCAGAGATATATTGCATATGTATACTTTAAAGACAGGATGTATTCCCAGCCTTGTTCCAAAGGGATTTAAGGCAGTTGAGGAAATGTATTTGCAAATACATCCACTGCCAATTTTCAGATAAGTTTATTGAGCTTTGATTGCAATCTAACTCCTGCTTAGGCTGAAGGTCCTCATTAATTAGTAACCAAGGGGATAAAAATACATTGCTACCCACCGAAAAGGATTTTGAGAAATCTAGAGAAAAGCACTAATCAAAACTAGACATGCAAACGCATGATCCCGTGGTTAAACTGACCTGAAAACCCAAGATTCTCAAGGTCTCTGCAACCCTGTAAGGTCAGTGGAGTCTGAGCTGGAAACAATAATTTTCTAAAAATTTCTAGTACATTCTTTTTTTTTTTTTTTTGAGGAGAAACACTCTTAATTTTAAAATGTAATCTGTTAAAAAATACATAGTAAAGAAGATGGAAGAGAAAAGCTTTGTGCTGTAACTAAAGGTTTCTCTGGGAGAGACAGGTTCTTTCTTTTCCCTCTTCTTACTGTTCTATATTTTGGAAAGAGGGCATGCAATACCATTAAAGTGTAAAAAACCTTCAAATACATCATGTGTAAAAACATATATTTGGGCATGGTAATAAAAAATCATGCCTAATTTCCCTTAATGTTTATATTGTGCATATATACTAATTGTAACATTTCATCCCTTCAAAGTTTTGCTTCACATTCTTCAGCTGTGAATTCTGTCCTTTTTGATTATTTCTCAAACCTCTAGATTAATATAGATTGGAAAACAGAGTTCTTAACCTGACTCCTCAGAGCCTCGCTATCTACACAGTTATAAATCAGTGCTCTCAAACTATGTACAAAATTAGACTTATTTTTGCAAGGCTGGATGTAATTTTTCTTAGTCTTAAAGGAGTCTGTGGCTCTAAAACCATGACATAAAAGCTGATATTCTGGGATAGGAATGGCTATGGTTTCCTGGGCTTTTCCCTAAACAGTTAATAATACTAAGAATAGAGAGGATGAACCGAAACACTAGCAAGTTTCGTACTGTGTAGTGGATTCACTATAACTATGAGCTCACTGTCAGAAGAGTATCCACCCCACCTTTGGCTATAAATAAGAAGTTTAATGAGTCTTAATAATAGTATCGAAGAGACCACAAAAAAATCCAAAGAACCCCAATCACTAGAACTAGGTATCCAACAAGGGTAGTGTGACATCCCTAATACTTTCAGAATTATCTTTTCTTTTTTGCCTATTTAACATTTTTTTTAGGCAAAACTCATATAACACACAGTTAACCATTTTAGAAGAAGCAGTTCTTTGGAATTCACACTGTTTTGTGACTGTGCAAACAGCCACTTGCAATCTCCTTTTGCTCCCCAAGTATTCCATGAGATGTATATGGACGTGCCTTGGAAATCTAAAGCATTGTGGAATAGTAGTTGTTACTATCATTGCTTTGATATTTAACAATTACTTTTTTATTAAAAAAATCATTTTCTGAGGCTTTGGACACAGAATGACATGTTCTTTGCTGTTTGTCCCTGGCATGAGTGTCAGTAATTCATCTTCATTTTATCTGTGCTGCATCCCACTTTCTCGTTAGAAAAAATAAAGGCTCTTAAAGCTTTCTGGTCATTGCAGCCTGCCCTAGCCCAGCCCAGTGTCACACATTTCACAAGTCTTGGGTCAGAACAAGAAGACAGTTCCTCCCATATTTCTCCCCTTCCCCTCTCTCAACTAGTTTTCAGAATGGGCAAAGAATATAGCAATATGTTGGACAGAGTGGTCAAGAAACATACTTTTATTGTGCTCTAGGCAAGCTACAACAATCAGCAGAGGCAGCATGCTCACCACTGTGGTGGCTACCAATCTGAGTTCAAATCCCTGCTGTGTCACTTGTCACCTGTGTGTTCTTTGGCCCCTCAGGGATCTCTCTGTGCTTCGGTTCCACCTTGATGAAAGAGGCAAGGATAACTGTATTTATGCCATAGGATGGCTGGGAGATGGGATGAGTAAAAGTACCAGCACAGTGACATCTGGTGCAAAGCAGTATTCACAAAATATTAGCTCTTGTGATTTTCATAGCAATCATCATTTTGTCATAAGTAGACTGTTGTGGGTCTGAGCCATTCAGGATCAGCCTGAGTGACCCCACAGCCCCCAGGTGCACATTTGACTCTTCACTAGGGGCAGAGACCTCTTTCTGTGTGTGTGTGTGTGTGTGTGTGTGTGTGTGTGTCCCTCCCCCTCTAGCCTTTCCAGGTGCACATTTGACTCTTCACTAGGGGCAGAGACCTCTTTCTGTGTGTGTGTGTGTGTGTGTGTGTGTGTGTGTGTGCCTCCCCCGCTCTACCCTTTCCTTTCATCCTTTGCCTGAGACGGTCCTGGCCATTTTGGGGAACAATCTGAGAAGTGAATCTTGAGAAGAGAAACTTATACCTGTGACAAAACTGGTTTAAAAATAGCCTCTGTTGGCAAATAAAATAAGAGGCACAAGAGCAAAGAGCTCCTCCATGACCTTCACTATCCCCAAGCTGGGAAGAGGTCAGGACATGATCATTCACTTCCAGAAAGCAACTTGAAATCACTTTGTTTGCTACTGGTACTGGGGATTGAACCCAGAGCCTTGTGCATGGAGGCAAGTACTGTTCCTGTCCTTTTGAACCTTTCTTCCTTTGAGCTGAAGCCTACATGCTCAGCCTCCTCTGTGCTCCCATCTCGACTTCTGACACAGGACCATGGACCGTTCCTGGGGATGTGTGAGGGTGACCTCTCACAAAGCCAGCACCTGCTCCCTTGCATACAGCCCTCCCCAGCTGGAAGCTGAGCGTCTCAGAACTCAGTGGTCTCGGGCAGGTCTGGCACTGAGATAGGTCTGGAGCAAGCTCTGCACATGGCACCCCAGCAGCTCACCCATGAAGTAGGTGGTGGTCTTGCACATTGCACTGCCGAAGATGAAATCTTTGAGCAGGCTGGGAATGAGGTTGAAGGGCATGCAGAAGAGGCAGAGCATGAGGTCGCTGACAGCCAGGGAGAGCAGGAAGATGTTGGTGACCGTCCTCATCCTCTTGTTCCGAATCAGCACCGTAATGACCAGCGTGTTTCCCAGCACGCTAAGCAGGAATATCAAGGAGTACAAGAGAATCTGCACCGCCGGCCGCCACTCTGCAGAGGGACAGGGACCAGGATCCGGCAGTGGCGGGATGCGGGTTATGAGAGCAGAATGCTAAGATTTTAGTGCCAGTTTCTGCCCCCTCCCCAGTGACCCCACCTCTTCCTACATGGATAATATTTTGCAAGAATAAACTGAGCAAAGCACAGGGTGATTCAGTTGCTCTTGAAAGGCTGGTTTGCTAGAGAGTCTCTCGGGATACCACTTCTTCTTAAGGACAACTCGGCTAAATAGTGCCGGCTTTCTTCTTTCCTAGAGGCTGAGCATTATTTTGCTTTAATCACTTCGTCACGCTGGGTTCACCCAAGAAAAGGCACTGCTCCATTGTGACAGCACCTTTTCAGTGGTGCTTGTAAGTTCAGGCTGCTGCACTTGTACTCCTTTCTCCCTACATTCAGCTCTCCCTCCCCCTTCCTTTGTTTTCCCCAAGTCCTGTGCCTGGGTCCCCAACTGTCCTGAGGGGAACAGTACAATTCTTTGACTCCAGTCTGCTTTTGATCTTTTAATCCAAACTTCTGAGCCCACGACTTTACCTAGCCTTCTCTCCCAATGAATTTTTTTGTTTTCTTTATGAGCTTTGCCTTGGTGGATAGCTCCCCTCACCTCCGGAGTTTTCTGAATTAAAATAAGACCGCCTGACACCTACCTTTGGAAGGCCGGGGCCGATCCAAGCAGAAAAGTGTCTCATTTTCAAAGCCGAGCTCACAGGGAGATGTGATATTGCTCCCATTCAGAAGAAAGCTGTCCACCGCGTCCATCCTTGCTTCTGCTTCCTACCAAGTGCTGGTGGGCTGGAGAGCTGCTCTCTCCCGGCTCATTCCTCTGATGACCAGAGTGCCTCCCGGGTGCAACCTGCAGCGCAGGGGCAGGCAGGGAGTGATTTCCAGGTATGGGTGGTTGCAGCCATTCCTAAAGGCTGCTGGAGTTCAGCACCCTCAGTCCGGCTGGGCACGCATCTGCTCTCCTGTGGTGGAGGAGGCAGCTTGTGCAAGCCCAGCCACTCCACCTTCCAGGCCCTCCCCGCCCATTCCTGGGCCAGCTTCAGGCCCCGAGCATGGACAGGCTTCAGGTTAACCCTTTCCAGCACATAGCTGCCTTTACACACACACGCGCGCACACACACACACGAGTGCATACACAGTCACGTGTCCACACTTCCCTGGGACCTGTCTCCTCTGTGTAGGGACCTGTCACTGTCCCAGACATGCAGAATGAAGCCCAAAGTGGCTGTGTGAGACAGGACTGATTAACAAGGTAACCAATCTGATAATGCAGACCATCAGGACCCAGGGACATGGAGGGCCTGTGCTCCCACCTCCTTATATAAAAGCCATTAGTGCCTTTTTAGCTTTGGAACAGTGCCCAGCAATGTGTGTGGCTGTAGCTGCTGGGAGGCTGTTAAGTTACTGCAAAACACGCTGATATTTCTTGTGGTCTGCCTTTGTTAACCAGGATGAAGAGGGCACTTAGGGATGTAGTGTCCTGGATCCTTACTACACAACGAAGCAAGGTTTCCCATTTATTCCTCCATTCCTCCATTCAGCACACTCATTCATTCCACTGAGATTCAACCGTATGCCAGGCAACTTCTCTAGCAGATCAGCAAATAATGAGGAAGGAAGGGCATTGCAGACGGCGTCGAGAACTGTGAAGGAAGTTACACAGGGGAGGTGATGGGAAGGCGTGGATTCAGGATGCTATTTATCCAAAGTCGAGAGAAAGGGCCTCCCTGAAGAGGGGATCACGATTGGAGCCTGGGACAACAAAGAGGAAGAAGGAAGAAGCATGTTCTAGGCAGGAAGATTGGTATTTTCAACAGAGGTCCCAGCCAATGCAAAGATCCTGAGGTTGGCCTCTTCAAAAAACAGAAGTGGATATGAGTGAGGGGCATATGGTGGGAGGTGGGGTTATGGTCTGGGTTTTTCAGGTGGTTCTGTGGTATTTGAAAGCCCCTAACCGCCCACTGTATAGACGTTCTCCCCAGTTTGGACGTTTGGGAAGCAGAGAGCAGCTCTAAACTGTGTTCGGGCTGATGTTTAGCTGAGCTCAGGCTCTGTCTGTTTGCTGCACACCTCTGGGCCCTAACGTGTGACAGAGCCACAGGCTGGGTGTTTGCTGAATCCCTGCCAGACACATGAGCCAACTGGTATTTTTGCCATGGAAGCTTAAAATGTGGGGCTGGGAAGACAGTGGTGGCCGCACACAAACAATTCATAAAAGCCAACAGTGGAAGGGGCATTGGAGAAGCTGCGCAGTATCAAGACAAGCTGTGGGGTGAGGCAGATCTGGGATCAAGTCCTGGCTCTGCAGGTCCCTGATGGAAAACACTGGCAAGCTTTCTTCACCACCCTACAGTTCATCTTCCTCATTTGTCAGTGCCAGTGGGGCAAAGTGACTTTACAGGATGATGGACTGACTGACTCAGGACAGTGTTCCATGCACAGAAAGTGTTTGATGAATCATAGATGACAACATTCGTAGCCTTCTAACAGCACCATTTTCCTTTTCCAAGTGAGGAAACTGAGACCTAGTGATTTGCTGGAGAAGAAGCAGCAGTGCCCGGGTCCTCAGGCCACTCCCCAAAGCCTCTGGCCCTCCCTGCTGAATGTGCCCTTGGTCAAGTCTTCCTGGTTTGCAGATGACTGCCCAGCCTGCCCACCCAGCTTGCCCGCTGGAGCTGCCCAGGCAGCAGTGCTCACATCTGGTAGGGATCAGCGTTTTGGTTTGACTCTGGGCACAGTTAACATTTCATCTCACTGCTCTGGCTAGGAGTTGGCTGCCTAAACTGTACCATCTGGGCAGAAACCCCTGGCACGGAGGGCCATTGACCCCTACTGAGGTTAGCAGGCCTGTCAGCACTGGGGGAGCACATCAAGGCCACCCCAAAGCTGAAAGAGGGGTCTCAGTGCTGACCCACCCTGGGCTGAGACGGCCGACCCGGCAAGTTCCTCCCTTCCTCCTATCCTGTATTTTCCTTTCATGCCCATTGATTGGCATGAAAAAGATGGGAATGCAGCATAATCGAGTGCTGTAGCTCACAAACTCTTCTGTGCATCCAAATTACCTGGGTGAGTGGTTTCCCATGGGAATTTCCAAGTTCCCCTCATCTGTAGAGATTTTGGTTCTTCAGCTACAGACCCGGGAATCTGCTTTCTCCTTTCTTTTGGCTGCAGTGGGGATTAAACCCAGGTCCCTTGCACTAAGCTGCATTTTCGGCCCTTTTTATATATTTTATTTTGATACGACATTGTTAAGTTGCCCAGAGTGGACTCTTAACTGATTCTCCTGCCTTAGCCTCCCAGACTGCTGCGATTACAGGTGTGCGTCACCAGTGTGCATTTTGATTCTGAATTTCTGATGACTGAAGCCAGTGATCTCAGAACTGTGGGTGGGGAAGCATTCTGGGAGTCAGTAAGGCAGGGACAGTGGGCATCAGATCCCAGGAATCTGAGCCTGGGCTTCACACTGGCTGGCTGTGGAGCATGGCCACATTAACTCAGTCTTTCCAACCTCAACTTGCTTGTCTATAAGCAAGAAATAAAATAATTCTACTTATCATCTAAACGGAACATGGGGACCACTTAGACCAGTGCTAGGAACATAGCTCTGGGTACTGACTTATAATTAATGGATGAGGGTAATTCTAGGGATGTTCTCTTTATTCCCTTACCATGGTCAGATTAAGGATTTGTCTGCTCAGTGCCTAACACACTGCCTGGTACACAGTGCATGCTCAGCAAATGTGTATGCATGGTGGACAGTCAGGACTGCTGGTATTTCAGTGCCCACTGTGCTTTTTGCTAACTGTGTACATTGCTTCTTTTCCTGGCCAATTCTGGAGTTTTCATTCTCAGCTTGTGAAACAGTGTTGTCTTCCAGGGAAAAGCTGGGACATTTCCTGGTGCCAGTCCTGTTTCTTTCTGCAACACACTTCTACTGAGTGCCTTGCAAGTGCTAGGGTCTGGGGTAGGTCCTGGGACCCTGGGAGCCAAACACTGAACTGCTATCCTGGTTTAGTTAGGGATATCTGGAGGAATAGGGTTGATAGAAAATGTGTGTATAATTATACAAGGGAATTTACTAGGTAGGGTCACAGGTTCAGAGGTGGAGTCCAAAAGGGCTTTCTAACCTGGAGAGCTGGAGGATCAAGTAGCAGTTGAGGGCTGAAGGCCTGGAAGCTCTCTGTAGAGTTACCAGTGGGAGTGGATTGGAAGCAAGAAGAAACGGGGACTGATGTCCAAAGGCAATGGTGAAGACTGGTGCTCCCCCCAAATGGGAAAACTCCCCCCACACACACTTTTTTTTGGTACTGGGGATTGAACTCAGGACCATGAGCTCTCAAGGCAGGCATGGTACCACTGAGCTAAATCCCCAGCTCCTCTTTCCTTTTTTATTTAGTCCAGGCTACAAGCTTATTGTCTGGTGCCACCCACATCTGAGGTAGGTCTTCCCTCCTATTTGCTGGCCTACATGTCAATCATCCATAGACACTCTGCTAATCTGCATAGTGGTTCTTATTCAAGTCAAGTCCACATATCATAATGATCAGCTCCAAGTAGGAGACACACAATGAGGGGATGAGGCAAAAGGGATGCGTTTCTCACCTCAGCGCTCATCCTCAGATTGGGAGCAGTTCCAGGTAAAATGATAAAATTGACTAAATTGGAATGGTTTGAGCCCCTCTCTTCTCTCTATGATGTACAATACTGGACAGGCGTCAGCCTCCTGCGGGCTACAGAAAAACCCTATGGGGACCAGGCCTTTCTTTTCTGCCAAATAGCAAGAAGAAAAGAACATGAACAATTGTGACAGGTTCCTGGGAAACGATATTATTAACTGCTCCCCAAACGATTCTCTACCTGAAGCAACAATTGTTCTAAAACCCTGAAAATGTTTCTATGTGTTTTTCTTCATTATAATATTTTTCAATGTCAATTTCTTAATAAAGAAAAAAGAAAGGTATCAATATAACACAAATGGATTTTGAGGGCCTGAATGATTTATCCTCAGTCCTTCCCCCACCCCAGAGAAACTTAGTCTTAAAGCCAGAGGCAGTTAATAGGCAATTGAGTGCATGACAGACTCAACTGACGGGGCAGTGTAACATTGTTTAAAGTCCCCGTGCCTCTCTGCTGTTCCCTGACTCTGCTGTGCGAATGTCACTGTCCACATTTATCATTTCTCTCTCCTGCCAGGCTCCCCCAGTCGACAGTCTGCAAGGGTTCCCTCCTTCCCTTTGTCTCAGGCTCCCAGCCTTCTGGAAGTGACCAACTGGGGCTCACCCTTCCCCACAGAGTGTGTGCCACCTGAGTCACAGTGGAAGTGGCCATCTAAGGCTCTTGTGCAACCCTCTCCCCACAGGCCCTGAAATCCTTCCTCCAATGGCTGCCCTTCCTGGGTCCTATTTGGTGAATCGCCCACTTCCTGGAGACACAGGAAGTCAAGCGTCTTTCTGATGAGGCTGTCATTTAATAAGCCATAGTTGGGCTTTGGGCAAAGTAGCTTTGCCTCTCTCCATCTCCATTTCCTTGCCTGTTCCCAGGACAATGCCCATCGCTTAGGCTGCTAGGATTTACACATCGCTGGGCGTCTAAAGCACCCAACACAATACGGTGCTTGGGTGTCACAGGGCTCACTCAGTAAATGATCATAGCAACTATACAACCAGCTTTACCTTGATAGGGATGGGAAAATATTCTTAGTGTCACTGCTTCAGGGAGATCTTTGCTGATAGTTAGGACAGGGTCCATCAGCCTTGTCTTCCAAATGCAGGTTTAAAAAATAAATTTGGAATAATTCTCTCTAAATAATATTCCTCCTATGTTCACTTTCTGGACATGTAATTTTAACATCATGTGTTCGTTCCCTCACAATGAGAAATATAGCTTTTGAAGTATTCTCTCTCTCTCTCTCTCTCTCTCTCTCTCTCTCTGTGTACACACATTTAATTCAGATAAAGAAGAAAAAAATTTATAATACCA